TTTACTTTTTGGTCTTCAGAAAAAGAAAGGTCTATTTCACTTACCAGTTCCTATATAGGCTTTAAAGCGTCCTGATAGTCTGTCGACGAAGGCACCTAGAACATCTAATCCCAGCAATGCTACCTGTTGAAACAAAAGCATTGGAGAAGAGACATCACTGAAGAATTCTTTGGAATATATTTTGAAGTAGTTAGACATTTTCAGCATGTATACTGGAAGACTGCATCTTAATCGAAATATAATCTAAAAATAATATCAAATTCCAATTAGAGAGCTAATTCCTTGGAAGCTTTCATTAAGACAAAGTTAATAGAATATATTTGGATTGGATTGAGGGTATTTATACGTCAGAGCAGTTCAGATTTTTCAGTACTTGTATTAAACCAGACAGAAAATAAGGATTAGAACAAGGGTTTCATATTTTGAATTACAAATGATAAACATTCAAATGAACAATTATGAGGACTCAGGAGTTGGAAGAAGCTCCTGGGCTTTTTTTCCTGTCTGGGTCCTACATCAGGACTGCAGTCCTGTCCCTTGAAAAGATGTCTTAAAGGTCTAACTCAGTATTAACTGAAAATCAAAATTCCTTCCAAAGAGGTATCAGCAAAGCTTTAGGCCTGACCTCATCTACCAGGTTTCTAAGCTGAAAGAAACAAAACAGAATGCCTTAAAAAAAAAAAAAAATTAAAGAGAAAAAGGGAGGGAGGAACTGGAAAATGACCAAAGCCCTGGTTTAACCAGTTTCCCAGCTGCTATGAGCTTACTTCAGTCTGGCTCCTTAACACATCTACTGAGGTCACTACATTGCTTCCCCAGCTCCCAAAAGAAAACAGGAGAGGAGCTAATACAGGCTGTCCTGGCAGCTCAGACCACACTATGTGTCCACCTGCTTTTTAAGCAGGGCAAGTTTTATTTTTCTTCATTTGTTCATTAAAAACAAGCAGAAATCAATCCGAAAGCAAAAGGAAGTTCAAAATACTACTGGGATGGTGAGGAAGTTCCCATCTATGAACAGAAACTACATGAGAGGACAAAAATCTGTCTACTTAGAAACAAAAACAACATCAGAAATGATGAGTTAAACTGTTTTAATAAGCCAGAACTTTTTTCCCCACCCTGAACTATCCTGCATACTGATACACCAGGAAATATCCTGCATAAAACTTCCTTTTTTATTTCCTATAATAGTTTGTTATGAACACCAAGTGAGTGCATCTGCACCTTCAGAATACTCCAACTGATAACTGACACACAAAAAAAAAATGTAGAATCAGCTTTTATGGCAACATGAAGGTTTCCCATCCCAAAAGCTCTTCCCTTTGATGATCTTTTCCAGATTGTCAAACTACACTAGACATGAGGGGTGAATTTTAATCACCTCTGATGATACAGGTCACATTTATCTCAGCTAACCATTCAAGCAGTTGTCAGTATGGGGTTGGCTCTTTCTAACTATCAAAGATTTGTTTAATGAATGCAGCAGGGGTTCTACTTCATCATTAGTCTGCAAAAGCCTCTTTAGTAAATACTGGAAATTTAAATATCCGGACCAGTAGTTTTGCCTTGTGATGTCTGTGTTGTATGGAAATGTGTCGTCCAGACTCCCTGGGATGAAGTGAAGCTGGCTAAAGTTACCTTTTTAAGTCAGAACAAAATATGAGACTAACCCTGGCTTTAAGAAATGCAAAAGGAACACATGCTGCTGTGAAATTCTCACCTCTAACAACTATTTAATAAGAACCTTTAGATAAGAGCTAAGTGAGCAGGATACTATTGTTTTCAAGGAGCCATCCTCAACCTACAACATGATAGTTAATTCTTTAGCTCATACAAGGTCCTCTATGACCTGCAACCCTGAAAAGATGACAGGTATTAAGTGTCATGATATCTGCAGAGTGAGCAAGCACAATGTGACCTCAGGCTCAAAGTAATGGGAACCTGCTGGAGCTACAGAACAGGCTCCTCATCCCACATTTCAAACCAAGTCAGCTGAAGCACACCCCTGCAGAGTGTACCAGATAAACCACCTCTTTCTGCTTTTGTACCTCAGTCTCAGCATTTCTCTGCTCTGGTACACTATGTTCTGAGTTTCAGCATCTCCTGGTAGGTATCATCCATGCAGTATTCAAGCAGCCCTTTGGAAGGAGTCCTTAACAATTGATAGGGGCTCACATGAGCAGCATTAAAAATAAAATAAAACCCACAAGCCAAGGCAGAGCTGATGTGCAAGAAAAAGGCTCCAAGCTCTCAGGCATTGCATGGGCCCATGTACCAACACAGGCTCTCCATCACCAACCTAACACCTCTCACCAGCATCATGGCTCTTTCCCCACCAGCTTCAGTAAGGGATCTGTTTCTTCTGGGATTAAACAAAAAAATCATTGGATCTGTTTCTTACTCTGCATTCATTAAGCTTTTTGCCTGCTGCCTAGAAAGAGCCTTTGTATGTGGAGACTGATTCATCAGCTCACTATTGTTTGACGTGGTTAAACACTGCTCTTGAGGTTCACAGTGGAAAAGAAATTTTGGCTTATTTGAACTGGAGCTGTGGAGTTGTTGAGCTGCTCTTTAACAAGACAGTGTTCAGGAGCATCTGTGACTACTCAGGTTATAACAAAACTGACAACCCACCTGAGAAATGTTTTACCTGTTCTGGAGAGGACCAGACTAGTTAGTGAAATCAAGATACTCCAACCCAAAAAGTGAGTATGATCTGAGGCAGTGATTAGGAATTGAGCCTACTTTTTGCTCTGCACCTTGTTCCTTCTCCAGCTCTCCTTCTACATCCTCTTTCCAGCACTGCCACTGCTCTTCAGTGGACAACTTCCAGGCATCTAACTATCTGCTGGGAGAAGAAATGCTGTTCTCCAAACCATACCTGGGTAGCCATGCGTGCTTACTGTTCTCACTGCAACTCATTTCCCATCCCTGTGGGGGACATCTACAGGCAGGAGACTGCCAGGAAACCACCTCTTGTTATGTAAGTTGCCAAATGACCTTAATATGCATATGCTCAGATTTCATCATAGGATCCCTGAACTGTATATGGAAATATGGATTCTGCAGATCACAATCTGCAAACTAGTCATGAGGATCTAATGGAGGAATTATGGAGGTCATTACCTGCAACTCCAAAAGAATGGAGTTAAGGCACTGGACTCCTCATCACCATGGGGACAGTTGTGGTATCACTAACAACCCTCTGACAAACACCAAGCACCATGCCAAACAACTACGCCCTGCCAGAACAGCTATTGTCCTGGCACTGCAATGCTGGAACAAGACACAGGCAAGAGCATCAGGAGGTTTTTCTGTTCTTCTCATCACTGTTGGCCTGGAACACAGGCCAACACATCATCTCAAGCACTCTGCAGGCAGCTCAACATCAAACAAAACCACCTGCATACACACAGTCTCTTCTGCTTCAGCTCTTGACATCCCTTACTCCTAGTTCTTTTTATTGGTCTCCCTCAATACACCTCTTCCCTTTGATTTCACAGGATATTCCATCACTTTTTGTTCCCTTATCCATTTCCCACTCCAATCCTCTCCACATCACCGACATGCACCCATATTCCATTCCTTCCCTTCACCCAAAAGCCTGCAGATTCCAGCATCCACCCTTGGCTCCATGGGCAGAAGGAAGTTTTCATTTTCTTTGGTCTTCTCTTCAACACAGATGTTTTTTGAGTCCAAGCCAGGTCATCCTCAACCTCCTTTCTCCCACGTACAAGAAAACGCAGCGCTGCAATCCTCCCACTCAGCAGCAGTTGGGCAGCTGCCTCTGCTGACAGCAGCCAAAAATGCA